TTCACAGAATATGCTGTAAAGTGAATTGACTGTATATTTGTGTGTGAAACTTACATGTACACACAGAAACACACACAAACACAGACACTCTCGACCCTCAGACAGACACGAACAAACATCGACAAACGGGTTCAGATCACAACCAGGAGACAGGTTGTCTGGACTGTAGGTTTGTTGGACTCTGTTATAACCAGTCACACACTGTCTGCGTGAAATATCACAGATTGATACTGTAATAGCAGCAAATGTAGATATTACACAATAACAGATCCTCCCAACTCTCTCTCCCCCCCCCCCAGCCCTCTCTCTCCCCCCCCCCCCCAGCCCCCTCTCTCTCTCTCCCCCCCAGCCCTCTCTCTCTCTCCCCCCCCCAGCCCCTCTCTCTCTCTCCCCCCCCCAGCCCTCTCTCTCTCTCCCCCCCCCCCCCAGCCCTCTCTCTCTCTCCCCCCCCCAGCCCCCTCTCTCTCTCCCCCCCAGCCCTCTCTCTCTCTCCCCCCCCCAGCCCTCTCTCTCTCTCCCCCCCCCAGCCCTCTCTCTCTCTCCCCCCCCCCCCAGCCCTCTCTCTCTCTCCCCCCCCAGCCCCCTCTCTCTCTCCCCCCCAGCCCTCTCTCTCTCTCCCCCCCCCAGCCCTCTCTCTCTCTCCCCCCCCCAGCCCTCTCTCTCTCTCCCCCCCCCCCCAGCCCTCTCTCTCTCTCCCCCCCCCCAGCCCCCTCTCTCTCTCCCCCCCCAGCCCTCTCTCTCTCTCCCCCCCAGCCCTCTCTCTCTCCCCCCCCCCAGCCCTCTCTCTCTCTCCCCCCCCCCCCAGCCCTCTCTCTCTCTCTCTCCCCCAGCCCCCTCTCTCTCTCCCCCCCCCAGCCCTCTCTCTCTCTCTCTCCCCCCCTCTCCCCCCCTCCCTCTCCCCCTCTCCCCCCTCTCCCCTCCTCCTCTCCCCCCACCCTCTCCCCCCCCCCCTCCCCCCCCCAGCCCTCTCTCTCTCTCCCCCCCCCCCCAGCCCTCTCTCTCTCTCTCTCCCCCCCCAGCGCTCTCTCTCTCTCTCTCCCCCCCCCGCCCTCTCTCTCTCTCTCCCCCCCCAGCCCTCTCTCTCTCTCTCTCCCCCAGCCCCCTCTCTCTCTCCCCCCCAGCCTCTCTCTCTCTCTCTCTCTCCCCCCCTCCCTCTCCCCCCTCTCCCCTCCTCCTCTCCCCACCCTCTCCCCCCCTCCCCCCCCCTCTCCCCCTCTCTCCCCCCCCCTCTCCCCCTCTCCCCCCCCTCTATCCCAGCAGTTCCCGTCCTGTCCACTCCGCCGCACCTGATGGTGATGACCTGATGTACAGTCACAACACTGTGTGGAAAACACTGTAAAACCCTCTGTGTCACTGAGGAAACAATTACAATAATAATATACTCACAATGTCAGAAGTTTCAAACACTGGAGATGTTTTAAAGCCCTCAACACTGACACACACACACACTGACACACACACTGACACACACACACACACACACACTGACACACACACACACACACACTGACACACACACACACTGACACACACACACTGACACACACACACACTGACACACACACACACACACACTGACACACACACACACTGACACACACACTGACACACACACACACACACACACTGACACACACACACACTGACACACACACACACACACTGACACACACACACACACACTGACACACACACACACTGACACACACACACACTGACACACACACACACACACACTGACACACACACACACTGACACACACACACACTGACACACACACACTGACACACACACACACTGACACACACACACACACTGACACACACACACACTGACACACACACACACACACTGACACACACACACACTGACACACACACACACTGACACTGACACACACACACACTGACACACACACACACACACTGACACACACACACACTGACACACACACACACTGACACACACACACTGACACACACACACTGACACACACACACACACACACACAGACACACAGACACACACACTGACACACACACTGACACACACACTGACACACACACACACTGACACACACACACACTGACACACACACTGACACACTGACACACACACACACTGACACACACACACTGACACACACACACACTGACACACACACACACTGACACACACACTGACACACACTGACACACACTGACACACACTGACACACACACACACTGACACACACACTGACACACACACTGACACACACACTGACACACACACTGACACACACACACACTGACACACACACACACTGACACACACAGACACACACACAGACACACACTCACACACACTCACACACACTGACACACACTGACACACACACTGACACACACACACACTGACACACACACACACTGACACACACACATACTGACACACACACACTGACTCACACACACTGACACACACACACTGACACACACAGACTGACACACACAGACTGACACACACAGACTGACACACACACACTGACACACACAGACACACACACTGACACACACACTGACACACACACTGACACACACTGACATATACACACAGACATACATAGACACACACATACACACACTGACACACATACACATAAACACTGACACAAATACACACACACTCTGACACATACACTGACATATATATACACGCATTAACACACACACACACTGACATATACAGACACACACACGCAACAATAAATTACATTAACATGAATACACACAAAGAGAGGTACACACACACACACAGCAACACACCCACACTGACACACACACACACACAGCTCACCCACACTGACACACACACACACACACACAGCTCACCCACACTGACACACACACACACACACACACAGCTCACCCACACTGACACACACACACACACACAGCTCACCCACACTGACACACACACACACAGCAACCCACCCACACTGACACACACACACACACACACAGCCACCCACATACACTGACACACACACACACAGCCACCCACACACACTGACACACACACACACACAGCAACACACCCACACTGACACACACACACACACACACAGCTACACACCCACACTGACACACACACACACAGCTACACACCCACACTGACACACACACACACACAGCTACACACCCACACTGACACACACACACACAAGCAACACACCCACACTGACACACACACACACACACACAGCTACACACCCACACTGACACACACACACACAGACACACACCCACACTGACACACACACACACACAGCTACACACCCACACTGACATACACACACACAGCTACACACCCACACTGACACACACACACACACACAGCTACACACCCACACTGACACACACACAGCTACACACCCACACTGACACACACACACACAGCTACACACCCACACTGACACACACACACACAGCTACACACCCACACTGACACACACACAGCTACACACCCACACTGACACACACACACACACAGCAACACACCCACACTGACACACACACACAGCTACACACCCACACTGACACACACACACACAGCTACACACCCACACTGACACACACACACACAGCTACACACCCACACTGACACACACACACACACACACACAGCTACACACCCACACTGACACACACACACACAGCTACACACCCACACTGACACACACACACACAGCTACACACCCACACTGACACACACACACAGCTACACACCCACACTGACACACACACACACAGCTACACACCCACACTGACACACACACACACAGCTACACACCCACACTGACACACACACACACAGCTACACACCCACACTGACACACACACACACACACAGCTACACACCCACACTGACACACACACACACAGCTACACACCCACACTGACACACACACACAGCTACACACCCACACTGACACAACACACACACAGCTACACACCCACACTGACCAACACACACACACACACAACAGCTTCACACCCACACTGACACACACACACACAGCTACACACCCACACTGACACACGCACACACACAGATACAGAGAAATACAGACATTTGCACAGGGACACACAGCCGCAGATTCACATAAACACAGAGACATCACACGTATACAGAGACAAAACGCACACACGCAGCCACTGTACACACACACATACAGCAGTCACCCGTGTACTCACACACACATACAGCAGTCACCCGTGTACTCACACACACATACAGCAGTCACCCGTGTACTCACACACACATACAGCAGTCACCCGTGTACTCACACACACATACAGCAGTCACCCGTGTACTCACACACACACATACACATACAGACAGACACATGAGGAAACCGAAACACACGGCAAATAGCCAGTAACACAGACACAGACACACACACAGACACACAGAGACACACAGACACAGACAGACACACAGACACACAGACAGACACACAGACAGACAGACACAGACAGACACACAGACAGACAGACACAGACAGACACACAGACAGACACACAGACAGACACAGACACACAGACAGACACACAGACAGACACAGACAGACACAGACAGACACACAGACAGACACACAGACAGACACAGACAGACACAGACACACACAGACAGACACACAGACAGACACAGACACGACACAAGACACCCACAACGCAAAACAACGACAGACACAGACAGACACACAGACAGACAGCACAGACAGACACAACACGAC